ATTTTATATGGGAGTTATTGATGCTATATTTTCCTTAAATATTTGGAAGAATTAACCCTGGAAGTCATCAGGACTTGGACTTCTCTTTGAGAGAAGGATTTTAATTATAGATTTCAGTCTATAATGGATATAAACCTTTCCAGGTTTCTCATTTCTTCTTTGTCCGGTGATAAGTAATATTCTTCAAGGAGTTTAAACATTTCATCTAAATTATCGTATCAAATTAGTCATAGTATACAGGTTAAATTCTAACATCTATAAGATCGATAGTGATATGCCCATTTTTATTCTTTGAAAAACTTTTCCCTCTATTTGACTTCAAGGATTCTACATCCTCTTGATTTTGATTCTCCCTCACCAGTCATTTTTTCTGTCTGTTTCACTGCTTTCTTTCCACATCCTATACCTCTAGATGTTAAAGGGGGTCAGGACTCTTTCCCTGCATCTTTGTACTCACTCTCTTGGTTATCTCATCCATGTCAGTACCTAAATACCATCTCTCTGTTGAATTATACTTCCAGTCTATACCTTTTCTCTAAATCCCAGGCGTAGATACCCAAATACCTTAACATCTCCACTTAGAAATCCAATAGGCATCTCAAACATAACATGTCCCAGCCAAAGCCTTGAAGTCAATATTGATTCTTTCTTTAGTTACAATTCATATCTAATTCCACAGCAAATCCAGCTGACTTGACTTTCAAAACACATCCAAAGTCCATTGACTTCTGAGCAGCTACATCACTGTTATATGACTGAAACATTGTCTCGGGTCAGATTGCATTGCTCTGTCCTGAAAACTTTCCAGTTGCTCCTATTTCAGATAACTTTCCATTTCCAAGGTCAAAAAGGATCTTAATCACTCCACTCCTATCATCTACTGTTATTCACCCCCTGGCTAATTCCATTCTATGCCCAAAGGCCTCTTTGCTAGTCTTCAAACCCCTAGGTATGATCCTATTTTAGGCCTGTGTGTGTTTTTCCTATGTCTAGAATTCTCTTTTTCATATTTACATGGCTTATCTCATATTCTTTGCATCTTTGCTCAAATATTACCCCTACACTAAAGCCTTCCCTTTCTGAAATTGAAGCCCTATTTTAGGTTTCTTCAGATAGCACTTATTGCTATCTGATCTTGTATTATATTTTTGTTGCTTTTGTTATTGAAAACAATGACAACAAAAATATAGTATCCAAATGATTTATGATTAAGAAGAAAAACTGCCTCCTCCACTAGACTCGAAGTTCTATTAGGGCAAAGACTTCATCTTGTTCAGTCCAATGCTTAGCACAGAATCTTAATAAAAAGAAGGTGATTGATAAACATTTGATGAAATAATAAATCCATGATGATGACCACACAGAATTGTTATCTTCTGAAACAAATTTTAAATTGGAACTTTTTATAAACATATATTTTATTGATTTTTTAACAGAGAGGACGGGAGAAGGATAGAGAGTTAGAAACACCGATGAGAGAGAAATATCGATCAGCTGCCTCCTGCACACCCCACACCGGGGATGTGCCCGCAATCAAGGTACATGCCCTTGACCGGAATTGAACCTGGGACCCCTCAGTCCGCAGGCCGACGCTCTATCCACTAAGCCAAACCAGTTAGGGCTTAAATTGGAACTTCTATCAAAGAGGTAAAACCCTGAAAAACATAGATGGATATATATTTTGAATTCACGAAAGAATGTTTGCTATCTGGTTAGAAATATAAATGAGTGAATAACCTATGTATATGCAGAGGAGAGAGGTATTCACACAAATTACATAAAAATTGGGAACCTAAACAAGCTTTTATAAATGCAATAAATTTTTGAAAACTCTTTCAATACTTTATATTTTATTAAAAATTAAAGAATTAAAAATCTTGGACAATGATCTGTGGTCATAAGTAAACAATGACAATAAAAATATCATAACCAGCCGAAACCGGTTTGGCTCAGTGGATAGAGCGTCGGCCTGCGGACTGAAGAGTCCCAGGTTCGATTCCGGTCAAGGGCATGTACCTGGGTTGCGGGCACACCCCCCGGTGGGGGATGTGCAGGAGGCAGCTGATCGATGTTTCTGACTCTCTATCTCTCTCCCTTCCTCTCTGTAAAAAATCAATAAAATATATATTAAAAAAATATATCATAACCAAACGACTTACGATATTATAAAAATGGACCTCTTAATTGGTATAGCAATTACATTCTAGTTCAGAATAACAATATGGGTATTTCCTCTTATGTTATATTTTAAAAATCAAATTTGTTATGGTATTTTACATGTTTTTATATTATTTTTCAATTCCTTCATTCCTTCTTTGATTTTGGATAAATTAACAGACATTTAATTAATGTAGTCTCTAATCTTTATTTAAAAACTAGAGGTCTGGTGCACAAATTTGTGCACAGGAGGGATCCCTCGACCTGGTCAGTTATCGAGGCCTATCAGGGACCTGCTGGAGGGATGTTCTGGGAGGTTGGCTGGCCAGCTCCCTGATCCGGGCATATGTGAGGGCCAGTCAGCAGTAGGGAGGAGCCGTGGGAGGTTGTCCGGCTGGCCCCACATCTGATTGGGGTGAGGGGGCCAATCAGGGGTGGGGCTGGCAGGGGGAGATGCCGAGGGGGGTTGAGGGAAGCTGATCAGGTCCTGGATCAGGCTGGTTGGCCACTGCAGTGCATGTCATAGCAACTGGTCGTTCCAGTCGTTCCGCTGTTCCTGTCACTAGGCTTTTATATATGTAGATTGACCTCAGGAGTAATTCAGTTAGCCTTTTTCAATTTTTAACAAAAATTTTAAGATGATTCATTTATCAATGATTACTATGAAAACACTGTCCTAACTTTGACCTAACCAGTTCAAGAAGCACCATCCTTGGTATAAGGATTACTTACTAGCCTCTGAATTTCAATTAACCTGTAAATAAAACATTATCTTTAATACAGATGTGAAAACATGTGTGGAGAGGTTTTTTTAAAGTCAAGGACAGAGTCAAGTCTTTTTGTTATGTCTAAAATGGTACTTTATCTTCCAATTGAAAATATTTAGAAGATATGAAGCAAGATCATTGTGCTTGGTTCCATATTTTAAAGTACTTTTAATCAATATATGCAAATAATAGAATTTTTTAATTGTTGCACAACTCCAAAGCCAAATAAAATAAAGCTACCATTAAACCTTTTCAGTGGTTCTCTATGAAAAAATAATTCCTTTTGTATACCTAATGTTAGTGTACAATGCATATCAATCCTGTTTAAGAAGTCTGAGCTGATTAGGGAAAGACTTGGGTGGCTTTGGGAAACTGATATAAGATAGTGTGAATGGTTTTGAAGGCGCCAGGTAGCTAGAAATAATTACCACAGTTGGCAGTAATTAGGGACCAAAGAACACCTAACTCCAGACCACTTACATGTCTAGAAGTTCCTCACGTCTGATAACTGTAGAATTAGGACTGATACTCTATATTGAAAGCTTTTATAGCTAATATTTAGGGATAGTTAGAAAATTCTTTGTGTAGGTTACTGAGCATTGAGAATATGACCTAGAATTATGGAGCTGTGGCCAATCAGAAGGGCCATAGACACAGTGATCATTCTCATGTCAACTCCCTAACATGTTCCATGACTATAGAAATTGAAGTAGAGAATGTAAAGGAGAACGTACCAATTGGAGGCAAGACTCTGGACAACACTAATTCAAGTGCCAACACTCTTCTTAATTTCCAGGCGTTTATAAGTGGGCAATGATGCTCTCTTCTTAGAGCCAGAAATATGTCTGAAAATAACCTATTATACATTTATAGGAATAGATAGATAGATATAAGCTTCATTTTGGATTAATAAAAATTAAATCATTAAAATATAATTCTCTGATAGAAAAGAAGAATTACACAAGTTGAGATCTGAAAAGATCAAAACAAGTCTAAAAATTTAAATCATGATAAAGGAAAACAACGGGGCAGAGAGGAAAAGAGAAATGACCACATAGCCTTGCCTCCAACTGATTAAGCCTCATTTACATTCTCTATTCCTCTTTCCATATTAATGTCAGATAGGGTTACGCTCAGAGGAAAAATAAAGTGGAGCAAGAGGACAGAGAGCAGAGGGAGCTGCTGCTTTAGACAGAGGGATCGGGAAGGCTCCATGCCCCAAGATGACTTCTGGGAAGAGGAAGATGCTGCTGTGAAGCCTTCTGTCCAATGGAGGAACACTTCAGTTGTGAACAATAACGATGAAACCATATGAAAAATATTTTAATTATGTGTACCTTCATAATTAAAATCAATTACTTGATTTTAAAAATCAATAAACTGGGGATACTTCTGAAAAGACCACCTGAACTTGAACATGAAAACTAGTATAGCAAAATGGCCTTGGGAGACTTCACCACTGACGTCCCTCAAAGAGGTTCATGACTAAACGACTTTTTAAAAATATATTTTATTGATTTTTTACAGAGAGGAAGGGAGAGGGATAGAGAGTTAGAAACATCGATGAGAGAGAAACATCGATCAGCTGCCTCCTGCACACTCCCCACTGGGTATGTGCCTGCAACTAAGGTATATGCCCTGGACCAGAATCGAACCTGGGACCTTTCAGTCCGGAGGCCAACGATCTATCCACTGAGCCAAACTGGTCAGGATTAATCTACTTTTTAAAAGGGTATGAGAAACTCAGCACACTGACCAGAACAGCCCCAATCTTCGACTGGCACATGGTACCCAAGATGACTCTGCTATTTTCTCAAGAAGGAAATAATACCTATTCGTGATTAGGATTTTGATGGAATTAATCATGGAATGAGACACAAAAAGTATGTCAAGACACAAAGTTACAAAATGGCATATTACTATATATATTAAATAGTGTATGAGTACATACACTAATTTTGTGTGTGTGTATAGTTGATAAAAGAATGGATTATAAACACAGATTCCTCTGAGCAAAGCCAAAAGGTTCCATGTTGGAATGCTTCCAATGACGAAGACTGATAAGCTTGACTTGTATTGTGTTTACAATGCAAAGTTCACAATTCAGTTGTTTATTTGACTGCATTTCTCTCAGACAGTCCAATATCACAGACTGCTGTGCCAACAGACACATAATATAATACTTGTTCTTCTGTTTTTCAAGTGACAAGTGGTCGCAGAGGCGCTGGGTGGCCCAGCAAAGGCTGCAATTCTGGGGAAGCAACATCAAGATGCCACTTGGAATCTCTTTCTTAAAGTCAGAGTTGTCCTCTGAAAAGACTTGGTTGGATACTGCGAACCTGAAACACCAACCAAAAGTAATTCTCATTAAAATGTTAAAAATTCCAGCTCTTAAAAGCGTTGCTTTGTATAGTCCATGCCGATGATATTTTTTTAAAAACAAAAAAAGTATTTAATGTCACTTTCACACACACCAGGAAACAGTCACGTGCAAAAACTGCCATCTGGGGTTGAGAAGAAGGAAAGGGGTTCATCCCCACCAAGACTCGGTGCTGGCCATGTGTCCTTCCAGGCAGGTGGGGTGCAGGGACCTTCTCCCCAGAGGTGGGTCCCGAGGCCCAGGCAGTTGAGTAGGGAGCTCTGTCAGCCCCATGGGGGTAGAAGCGAGGTCACCCGCCTTCCCGCTATTGGGGACACCCCATCAGCTCCTCCTCTCTTTTTTTCCAGCCACAAAAACAATATGTTGGTAAGTTAATAGCTCCAGATGCTTTTTGACTTGGAAGCAAAGGTAAGAAAGAGACCACATGCTTGCTTGTCAGAGAAAAAATAAACTAAATCCTTAGAATTAGAGAAACATCTCTCTTGATGCACCCTCATTCCCTTCTACAGAAATGAAAAGGGACTCTGACCATCAGTAATAATTGTTGACACAAGTTTCTGAGAAGAGCCTACACTGACGAGTATTTGGTGGAACATCAAGAGCGTGGAGTTAAAGCAAATTCAGAGCCCAGTTCCATCTCCTAACCTCACTCCTGCGTGTCCAACAAACTAGCTGACATCTCCACTCAGCATGCTGTAGTCAACGTCTCCAAAACAATTCATCAAAACTCCTCGAGTTCCCTCTTTCAGCATCACCCACGGAATCATAGGTATCAGCCTTCACTCCTTTCTCTCTCACATACCACAGGGTGTTCCTCCCAATTTGGTGGCTCATGCCTCCTCCAGGAAGGTTCTCTGCCCCTTTGCCCACCTGCATATCCAGCCAGGTGGCCCTGCTGGCCACTCCCACAGCCCTTTCCATCTCCCCACTAGCCTGAATGTCCATTCAGGCTCAGACCAAAATATCCTTGGTGTTTGAATCTCTGCCTTTAGCGCAGAACCTGCCACAGAGTGAGCAGTTAGTACATTGTAATTTATTAATAAACAAACTTGGGTGTCTAATTCTGCTTGACCATCTATGATTCTGTTAAAAGCAATACTTGATAATGGAGCATGGCTGTCTCTTAGAGAAAGAACTATTGTCACTGATGATGATAGCGAATAGCGCCAGGGAATGTATAAGAAAAAAAAATGGAAAGGTACAGCAGCCTGGAGCTATTAAGCATTGGAGAAAAATCTCAAAGGGCTAAAGGATCTTTGACATCACTCTGCTACAGAACTATAGAAGGGTGAGGCAAGCACTGACAAACCTGTGTTGTTCCAATGCTTAAATTTTGCTAAATTTATTTTAAAATTAAAATATATGAAGTGTTTCCCTGAAAATAGCAATTATCCTTTATATGTCCAATGATCTGTAATACAAATGGTCATAATTTATATTATGAATATTTACAGCAAACAATATCTTTCTGGCATCTACGTAGGTCCTTTCCATACATTTTTCCAATAATTATTTTATCAGCCATCAGGTTATAAAAAAAAAGAAACTGAGGCCCAGAGAGAGATTGAGACAACCCAAAGATTGCTCGGCTGGTAGGGGGCAGAGCCAGAATGGAAACCAAGCATTTGAGCCCAGCGGGCGTGGCTCAGGAGGTCACGGTTTGATTACCAGTCAGAACATATTCCCAGGTTGTGGGCTCAATCCCCAGTGTGGGGCATGATCAGTGATTCTCTCATCATCGATGTTTCTCTCTCTCTCTCTCTCTCCTTCTCCCTTTTTCTATGAAATCAATAAAAAGGTCTTAAAAAAAGAAAAAGAAACCTTGACTCCAGGGTGGCACACCTCAAGACAATGCCATGTGGCCTCCCTGAATAAAAATGTTGGTCATAACGGAAGCACGTGTGTGACACAGGACAAGCACTACTTGGTTCCCTTAGGAGCCGCTGTCCACATATTTAGACTCCAGTAACGTTCTTTTCAAAATGTCATCTTGCCTATGATGATTTGACCATGTGCTTTATTTTTCATTACCCTTGACTGTGTTTGAATGATTTCACAAATTCAATATTATCCTGTCATACATATAAGCAGTAGCAATGGTGTGTTTGTGATCAGGGGCAGTTAGACATGAAAAAGTATTTTGCAACAATAAAAGTTCATTTTGATCAATCTTTTGTCTTTGGAAAAAAATATTGGTCATAGTTTGAAAATTAAAACATCATTGGCTTGAATTCTGATGAGAAAGTTTATTCTTCGAAGATCACACTCATCTGTAAAACTCTACATAAATAATTAGAATGTATGTATTAATTTTATTAAGCATTTTTATCATTAGATCTTCAAAGAGAATCTAAGATTAGGGTTTCATTTAGGAGAAAAGCATGAACCTCCACAGCTGAAGGAGACACTAATCTCCCTTAGGCCTAACAAGGCAGCTTTTCCCCTCTTTTTTTTTGAGGGTGAGATCTTAAGTTGATTAAAAAGCATTTGAGCATTTTCCTCTTTACAACTACAGCTTGCCTTTGCAGTTTCGCTCTTTATAGAGGTTTCTGAGGTCTGGTTGTAGACCACAAACCCTTGGTATTTCCTCTGACGGGGTCCACAACAGTCCCATCCAGGGAGCAATCTTCAACTTCTTTTCCAAAACTTACAATTTCACACATTACATCATTTTATTTATCCATGGAGAACACTGACCTGTCAGCAAACCTTGACCTGCCCAGGTGTGACCAGCAAACTCCATCAGAGTCAATGAACCTTTTCGAGGGGTGTCTGACTGTTAGAAGAAAAATAAAGGATGAGTTTTAGGATGAGTTAGAAGGATGAGTTAGAAGGATGAGTTTTATTGTTTCAGATACTTTTTTCCTTGTTTGACATTTAGTCAAAAGTATATATTTTTTACATTCAATATTATTTTGTATAGATTTCAGGTGTACAGCATAGTGGTCAGATAATCATATACTCTACAAAGTGTTTCCCTGATATTTCCAGTCCCCACCTGGCACCATCAACAGATGGTACAATATTATTGACTAGATTCCCTATGCAGTACTTACAACCCCATGACTATTCTGTAACTACCAATCTGTGCTTCTCAATCCCCCCTCCACTCTAGCAACCATCAATCTGTTCTCTGTACCTATGGGCCTGTTTCTATTTTGCTTATTTATTTTGTTCTTTAGATTCCACATGTAAGTGAAATTATATGGTATTTGTCCATCTCTGACTTATTTCCATGCTGAGACAAATGGTAAAATTTCATTCTTTTTTATGACGAATATTCCATTGTATGTATGTATGGGTACGTGGCACAAATTCTTTATCCACTTGTCTATTGATGGGCACTTGGGTTGGATATTTTTTTAAATATGTTTTTATTGTTTTTAGAGAGACAGGAAGGGAGAGGGAGAGAAGCATTGATCAGCTGCCTCCTGCACATCCCTTTCTGGGGATTGAGCCCAGTTATGTGTCCTGACCAGGAATTGAACTAGTGACCTTTTGGTACATGGGACAAGACTCAATCAACTGAGCCACTCTGGCCAGGGCATGGGGTGGATATTTTTAAAAACCAAAGTATAGTTAACACAATGCAGTATACAGATCATGCATATGGAAGTGTACACTCGAAACCTGTATGATCCTATTAGCCAATGTCACCCAAACATTTTAATTAAAACAAAAATAAAAGCAAAGTATAGTTAACAGAGAACCTACCCGGAACGTATGGGTTGTGCTGGGCCTTGAAAACTGTTCCACAGTCAGAGATCTTTCTCGAAGAGGTGATCGTTCTACACTATCGGGTATTGCACTTAAAACATGGTTTTGTGCATGCCTTCCTCTGTACTAAATGGGAGATAATATGTTATTGTTTAAATAAAATTCAAACCTTAAAAAAAAACAAAAAATAATCTATATATGCTTCACTCCTTTAGTCATTCATTTATTCACTTACTTGAAAACTTATTTATATGTTGGTAAACATAAGATCTAGTAAGCATAAATATAAAAATATTTTAATTATGGAATTGTGTTATTTAACCTAATAAAATAGCAATGTCCTAATTGGTAAATATGGGGTAAAAACCTTTACTACATGCAATTCTTAGTATTAAACTATAATACAAATGTAGTTCTGCAGTTGTGAAGCATCTGACTTTTTTTCAGGTGATATTTACCTTCTTTTGTGATTTCACGCCCATCCTCAATATTCTAAGATTAAATATTAAAGCTTTGCCGCTCTGACCTCCTGGGAATGGGTCCATGGCTATGCTCAGGGAGGCACAGGGAATGCAAGAGAAAACATTGCCTCAGCGTTTGTTCTCTCCCTAAGCTTTATGTTGCCACAACCTGGTGCTTCTGTGTTCTATAAAATAGACACAAGCCACTTGTGTCATAGCAAAGCATGTGGTCATTATAAAATGTTTGTGCCTGTTATCAGCAGCACAGCTTCACCAGACCTTTTCCATTTGCAGGGCTGAGTTGAGCTTGGCTGAAGAAGGGATTGCTTCTACACTGCAGTAAACATAGTAAAGTTAGCAGGAAAAATGAGAGCTGATAAAAATGGCAGGGGTATGTGATTGAGCTCCTCATTTATGCCAGTCGTTATTTAACATCTTTACATTCATTGAATCTGTATACAAGTAACAATTTTTTGAGGTAGCAATTATTATTGCCCTTTGATAGATGACAAAATTGAGGCTCAGAGAGATTCATTTATACCAAATCACACAGAGACTGGGTGGCAGGACTTCAACACAGTCTGCCTGTCTCCTGACCTCACCTTCATGCTATTTTCTGCACATCATCCTGGCCATCAGGTATGTCCTGGACACCTAATCTCCCTCATTTAGCATAAGCCATGTTTTTATTTCACAAAATAGTGAACAAACCCTGCCAGCCCCTGTAAATTCTCACAAGCCACTTATTTTCAGGAAGCAGATTATGGAGACATTTTGTGTTAATGATTTCACTGCAAAGTACCAAGATTATATGTTGTTTGTTTGAACGGTGCACTTTAATATAATGGAATGTGTCTTACAGAGACAGGCCGAGATCCAGGAACTGCCACCTTCTGCTCAGCAGGCTCGGGGCCTATGGGGGGTAACCTGCTCCGTGCGGTGTGGACTGGTGGGGAGGACATGTGGTCCATGCCAGTTTGCCTGTGAACACAACAACACGTAACTGAGCATCTAGGAGTCAAGACAGAGGACACACCTTACACAGCTCCTGATGTGAGCTCTTCATCACAGTCCGCCTTCCAAGAGAAATGAGCTGAGTTCAGGAAGACAAATGTGGGGAGGGGCCTGGCACCAGCTAGCTCTGTCACCTTCTCCTGAGCAATCGCCATCAGCCTGTATTCACTGAGTGACCAGCTATTCTGCCACAGGGCAGAACAGAGAGGTAATGGAACATCTAGTTCTGACCCTTATGGAATTTACAAGTTATTGAAAACACATAAATAATTAGAGTACAATGCAATGCAATTTATATAACAACATGTTATGGCACATGGTTCTGAATAGAAGCACTGTAGAAATTTAGGGAATAGAGTGATCAATAAAAGAACAAAATTAAGCCCACCTGGCAGGGCTCGGTGGTTGAGCGTCCACCTATGAACCAGGAGGTCACAGTTCGATTCCCAGTCAGAGCATATGCCCAGGTTGCGGGCTGGATCCCCAGTGGGGGGCACGCAGGAGGCAGCCCATCAATGATTATCTCTCATCATTGATGTTTCTCTCTCTCTCCCTTTCCCTTCCTCTTTGAAATCAATAAAAAAATATTTTTTAAAAGAAGAACAAAATTAATTATAAATGTGCAGGGGCTAGATTCAGAAAACCACCAAACTTTATGAATCATCATAAAAATGGGGAGGTAAATATGTTCTTTAATGGGCAACCTAAATATCGTAAAAATGTCAGTTATTCCTACATTTTCAACAAATTTAATGCTATGAAGTCCAATGTGAAGCTTTTAAAAAAATTTGACAATATTGTATAGTTATTTGTCAGTATAGGAGAGTAAATTTTCATAAAAAACAAAAGAGTAATGATGATAGGATGCTTCCCATATCAGATATTAAAATGAAAAATAAAATTGCCTGGCTCATGCACAAGACTACAGATGGCTATTCTAGAAACAGATTACAATTCCTTTATTCATGATAATAAAGTTGTGAAAATTAAAATAGGACCATTTTTGACCTATCAAGTTTTAAAATACACATACTACCCAAAGTTTTGCAGCTGAATGAAAAAGTTAGTCTCCTGTATTATCAGTGAACCTATCAATTGGTAGAACCATTCTGGGACAAACTTTGAAAAAATGTTCAAGGGCCTTAAAAATATCCACAACATTTGACCTGGTGTCTTTAGCTCTAGAACTACATCACCAGGAAGCAATTTGAAGACATCCTTATTTAGATTTACATAAAATGACACTTCCTGCACATTACAATAATGAACATATAGACCAAAAAAACCCCTCAATAATAAAGAAATAATAAATTACACATACCCACATGATTATATTCTAGTCATTAAAATTATGATTTTGAAAATATCTAACAATATGGAAAATATAAATAATATTAAGTAAGAAAATTATGTAAAAAGTACTACATTCTACCATAGTAAGATAATGTTAGTATTAGAAAAAAAGACAAACATTTGTTTTTGACAGGACAAAAATAATCTTACTCTTTTAATGTGTAAATCACAGATATAAAAAAGGTACATAAGTTGCACAGTATATTTTTGGAATATTAAGATTCCATAGGTTTGGAATAGTTGGAAATAGAGTATAAAAGGGCCTTGAGCATGGCAATATGGAAAACACATGTCTACAGAAAGGGAGGGGCTGAAGTAAAAGGGAATGTACAGTTGGAAGTGTCCAAACTCACTTTAATAGGAAATAGGAAAGGTTTTGATGGTGGAGCCCAGTCAGGCTGGGAGGAAGAGGAGTGAACCAGTCACGTGCTCTTGGTTCGGGTGTGGGTGAGGAATGGGTCCCAGGCAGCCACAGTGATAACGCAGGAGGGAGAAGGGTCCTGAAAGAATTAACAGGACAGACCCACCTAGAACTGGGAATTTCAGCTCCAAACTGTGCAACACACACTGACCTGTGAAAAAGCTGGAAGTGGCGCTATGAACCCATCTTGAAAGAGTCCAATTACTGGCTAAGCACTGGCCAGTGCTTCCACCATCCACCTCCCGCAGGGGGACCTTTATTTTTTATTTTTTAAAAATATGTTTTTATTGATTTGTAGAGATAGAGGAAGGGAGGGAGAGAGCAAAACATCGATGCATCAACAACGATCTGCTGCCTCCTGCAGGCCTCCCCGCTGGGGATCAGCCTGAAATAAGAGCATGTGCCCTGACTGGGAATCAAACCTGCGACCTCTTGGTATATGGGTCGATGCTCAACCACTGAGTCACACTGGCCAGGTGCAGGGGGACCTTTAATAACTCCCTCCCTTGCTGCAGAAAGCCTGTGGCATGACGGTCCAGGTAGTGCCCCCAAAGCGAGACAACACAATGGGGGTGCCAATAAGTTATAAATGCAGCTAAGAACTGCTGTAAATACTGGTGAAACAAAATTCATGCCAAATATTCAAATGTTAAATATGCAATTCATGTCAATATTCAAATGCATAAACAACTTAGAAAAGTGTCCACATAAGTTTGACAGAGGATGCTTTGTCTAGAATAATCCAGGAGCCCTAAGTGACAAGGGCCTCTGTCCTCTGTGACTTTTGTTTACCATGAGAGAAGCAGGACGTACAGTCTAGTTCCCGTAAGCACCTCCTCACTGTCCACATTGGGGGTTTTCATTCTCTGTGAGTCCAAAGTGAGAGAAGGCAGCCTCGTGTGTACCGGTGTCTTCTTTGCAGGAGTCTGTAGTCGGCAGGAGTCTGAGATTCGTCCCAGACGGTGGCGGGCCGCAGAAAGGCTACTAGCCCCCACACTCAGTGATTTGTCCTCTTGTTCATTCCTGGGGAAGGGAAATCAAGTTAATTACTGGGATGCAAGCTCTGTGAGAATAGGGAACATTTGCCCATGACCAGACACCGTCAAGAACAGTGCCTGGCTCCTAGGCGATACTCCTATTTGTTGAAAGGATAAACAGATTATTATTTCCAAATCCGTTTCAATTTCAATGAAGAATTCATCAATAGAGAGAAAAGATCTAAGTTTCTTATTGTTTATGATCAAACATTATAGCCCACAAAATTAAGAATTCACTGCTGCATTCCCTTTTTCTTTTTTAAAATATATTTTTATTGATTTCAGAGAGGAAGGGAGATGGAGAGAGAGAGAGAAACATCAATGATGAGAGAGAATCATTGATCAACTGCCTCCTGCACGTTCCCTACTGGGAATCGAGCCCACAACCCGGGCAATGTGCCTTGACTGGGAATCAAACTGTCACCTTTGGTTCATAGGTCAACAATCAATCACTGAACCATGCTGTCTGGGCCCCTTTTTCTTATCTGCCCCAATCTAACAGTAATCCTTCTGTGGTCGATATTTGAATAGCGTGTTTTTATCCTCAAACACTGGCCGTGACCTGCCCTGAGTGTGATTCTCATTCTCTCACGCCCTCCACAGTCCGGGTGTTCACGTGTGCGCAGCACAGGGAGGAGGCTGGGTGGTTATTTCTCATACGTACTGCATCCTGTATGCAAAATAGGTCGGTCTCTGCTGAAGTGGTTTTGCTTGAATTGTCATCACACCATTCAAATCACTATAAAAATTGTTGGAGAAGCGATGGATCTGAGGAAAGTAAAAACAATAAAAATTAAAAAGCATCCATAGCCATTGCCACCATGACTGCCTGCTGGAATCCACCGGAAGCAACGGCACATTCAGACTGGCTAATGGGAGGAACATTCAATAAAGGAGCTAGAGTTTATACAGAGGTGGGGAGCAAAATTAACAAGGAACAGCTTAATTCCCCAAGGCTTATTACAGTAGGGACACATGCCCACACTTGGGCCTGGAGCAACAAGGGTTGCTGCCTGGAGAAATGCCACCAATACACTGTGACCTGGTGGCCGGGAGAAAAGCAACACCACACCTCATGTTCTCTAATCTCTGAGCGCCCACAGGGGACAGCTGCTGGGCAAGACAGCCAGGGAACGCAGCCTCTAGGGCACCCCAGGGGGAGGCAGGTGCAGAGAGCACCAGGAGAAGCAGAGCAAAGGTGTCCCAGCTCCTGACCGGTCAGCTTGCTCTGGACCTCTCCTCCCTTGTCTTTCACAGCTTCCCCCTCTGCTTCCTGGCAACAGCATGGTACCTGGAAAACTCCAACCACCAGATCCAAAGGCTTAAATTTTTTTTAAATTTTATTAAATCTTTATTGTTCAGATTATTACATTTGTTCCTCTTTTTTTCCCCATAACTCCCCTCCTCCCAGTTCCCGCCCCACCCTCCGCCCTCACTCCCCACCCACTGTCCTCATCCATAGGTGCACGATTTTTGTCCAGTCTCTTCCCGCATCTCCCATTCCCCTTTCCCCCCCAAGAATAGTCAGTCCATTCCCTTTCTATGTCCCTGATTCATTGTAATCACCAGTTCATTCTGTACATCAGATTATTTATTCACTTGATTCTTAGATTCACTTGTTGATAGATGCATGTTTGTTGTTCACAATTTGTATCTTTACCTTTTTCTTCTTCCTCTTCTTAAAGGATACCTTTCAGCATTTCGTATAATACTGGTTTAGTGGTGATGAAGTCCTTTAGCTTTTCCTTATCTGTGAAGCTCTTTATCTGACCTTCAATTCTGAATGATAGCTTTGCTGGATAAAGTACTCTTGGTTGTAGGTTCTTGGTATTCAGTACTTTGAATATTTCTTGCCATTCCCTTCTGGCCTGCAAAGTTTCTGTTGAGAAATCAGCTGACAGTCGTATGGGTATTCCCTTGTAGGTAATTGAGTCTCTTTCTCTTGCTGCTTTTAAGATTCTCTCTTTGTCTTTTGCTCTTGGCATTTTAATGATGATGTGTCTTGGTGTGGTCCTCTTTGGATTCCTTTTGTTTGGGGTTCTCTGCGCTTCTTGGACCTGTAAGTCCATTTCTTTCACCAGGTGGGGGAAGTTTTCTGCCATTATTTCTTCAAATAGGTTTTCAATATCTTGCTGTCTCTCATCTTCTGGCACCCCTATTATTCTGATATTAGTGCGCTTGAAGGTGTCCCAGAGGCTCCTTACACTATCTTCGTATTTTCGGATTCTTTTTTCATTTTGCTTTACCGGTTGGGTGTTTTTTGCTTCTTCGCATTTCAAATCTTTGACTTGATTCTTGCGCTCCTCTGGTCTGCTATTGGGTATAATATTCTTTATTTCAGTCCGTGTATGCTTAATTTCTAGTTTCTTTATCGTAGCATCGAGGGTCTCATTAGTTTTCGTGAGGCTCTCAACAAGTTTATTGCAAGCCCTCAAAATTGCGTTTTTTAGCTCCATATCCTCCATTTCTGTCATGTTTTTTTGTCTCCGCATATTTTATGCTTTCTTGGTGCACCCCCTTGTGGTCTTTGTGCGCAGTCTTGTTCTAGTTAAGCCTTGATTGTTGTAGTTAATACTAGAGGGATTTGCCCACCAGGCTGACTGGCTGTGAGAATCACCTGTGTCTGCCCGGGAAAACTTCTGTCCTCTGTGGAGGTGCTAGTCTAGCCTTTGCCTGAGGCGATCTGGCAAATGGCTCTGCGCAGGGCTTGGGCGGGGCGGGTCGCATGGGATCAGCAGGGCGGGCGGAGGGAGCAGTTATGGCTGCTCTCAGTCCCGTTCCCAGAGGCTCTGCTTCACAGAACCCCGGCAGCCGCAGCAAACTTCGGAGAGAAAGCTACCCTTAGTTTCCAACTGATGCCGGACAATCCCGCTTCTCCCGTCTGAGTCTGAGTCCCTAGAGACTCGCCCGGATCTTGAGCCCAAAGTCTGAGACTCACTCCCGACAGAAAACAACAACCGCGCCCTCAGCCACCAGCCCGCTTTTCGCGCGCACCTCCGCACCTTTAAATTTTCCACACTGCGCCTCCTCTGAGCCTCTGGACGCTGCTGTCTTTCCTTCTAGTTGAAGAGTCTCTCCTCAGCAAAGGCTTAAATTTAAATTCCAGTTCTAACTGCTTCCTGGTTGGTGATCATGGGAAGATTACTGTGGAGCAGTGGTTCCCAAACTTATTTGGCCTACCGCCCCCTTTCCAGAAAAAATATTACTCAGCGCCCCCTGGAAATTAATTTTTTTTAAATTTTAATAGCAATTAAACAGAAAGATATATGTATTAATGTTTCTACCTTTTTCGTAAAATATAGTAAAGAAAGGTTTAAATTAGAAACATTGAAGTTTGAAATTATGAAATTATTTATTGAACTCAGAATAGAAAGGTAATACAAAAAAAGTTAAAACAAATGCACCTGTGGCCATCACTGCCCCCCTGGATCGCTGCAGCGCCCACCAGGGGGCGGTAGCGCCCACTTTGGGAATCACTGCTGTGGAGTTTTAATTTCCTGATCTCTAAATTGGGAATAATGACACTTACTTCATAGAATTATTATGGGAATGAAATTAGACAACATTGGTAAAAGCATGAATTAAGGGTTCAATCATCAATTCTTTATTCCAATTCCTTAATATGTCCAACTAGGATTCAAAATATTATTTAGACCTAGAGGAACCGGGTATCTGAGACTAGAATTCTATTCTGGGTCAAGAATAGAACTAGCAACTACAATCACATTTTCCTCATGTTGGATAAATGTACAAAGAAATGTTAGAGGAATAAATGAAGACCTATTGCAATTACCACTAGAATACTTTGACTATTTCAAAATAACTTCTCTTAGTATTTATTGGCACTTTTGCCTGTGTTGTCCATGTATTTTCTTTCAGCATTTATCCAAAAAAGAACATCAAAATAGATGTAGAAAACATTTCTTAATACTACTAAAAACCACCAAATATCTGTAAATAATTGCTTAGATATCGTCAGGCAAAATAAATAAACTTGAGAAATGGGAACATTTGCGCAATGTTCCTATTTCTCAAGTTTATTTCTTCTGCCTAATGTTTAACGGTTCCATGTTGTTATCAACTGTTCATTTCTATGTAATCCATGCTGCATATTTTACTATGCAAAGTGGGAGATGATGTTGAACCTGTCAGAGCAGTTTCAAGAGACCAAAACTTACAACAAACTCAGAGCAACTCCAACAACAAAAGCAAATAGGACTTATTGTAAAGCCTGCACACTGGAGAATAAAGCAATCCTGTTAGGTATTCCTGTTTAAACCACTACTCACCGAACTGCATGCCCTGTTCAGGCCTGTGTCCTTTCAATCTCACAAAGGCATTCTGTAGACTTGCTCCTGTGCTAGGGCATATTTTTGCCTCTGCCTTGAGTACCCTCCCCTTTCTTTTCAGCTTACCAAATCTTGCCTATTGTTTAAGATTCAGTTAAGGCCTTACTCTACTTCAAGCATGTCAAACTCAAAGGCTAACATGGGCCAAATAAACAAGGTTTAAGTTTATGTGGGCTGCAAAAAAAAAAAAAAGCTTCCATTTTCATGGAAACGTAGGCTTATGTTGATAAAGACATGCTGAATACCAAGGGCTGAAATAAATGAGTAATCATTAACATAAAATAATAGAACATTTATTAAAATTTAATATTTTTTCTTGAACATTAACTTACCAGACACTGAATAACTGCACAAATTAATAAGTGTAACGCAAATAAACCTATTTTTCTTGTTCTCCGAAAGCAAAATATTTCCTGTTGCGCACACCAAACAAGTCAGTACAAGACTAAAGATGTGGCAATTGGCTGCTATAATATTCGCTGCTAGTATTAGTGGAGAGAAATGGTGAGCCTGCTCATAAGGAGAGTAAGGGAAATGAATGCACAATTATAGTAATCAGTCATTAGCGAACGTTGTAGTTCATTATTAATAATTACGTATAACAGAATATTGTAAAAATTAAATTATGAAATTTTTAGTAAAATGTTTCTTAGATACCATTATATTGTCTGGGCTGCAAAAATATTCGTTGCAGGCAGCATGCGGCCCATGGGCCATGAGTTTGACATACTTGCTCTACTTTGTGAAGGGTATGCTGTTTTTCCTTTGAACCCTACATCATTTATGAGCTAAAGGACATGTAATTATTATGATATAATGAAATGTAAATAACATAATATGATATGATATAATACATATAATTAGCATCGGATTACAATAATAAAACTAACACTTATTGAGTGCCTACTCTATGCCACACAATGTCTTGTCTCCTTTAATTCTCATAGATAACAAAACCAGTTTTGAAAGAAAGGGGCTGATTCAAGATCACAAAGCTAATAAATCATGATGTCAGGCTCCAAACTTGTAGTCTATACCCAAAGCTCAACCTCTCATTCTACTCTACTACCTACTAGATTGCCTCATCTTGTATGTGTGCATGTGTGTGTGGCATGGCTGCACTCCCACCAACTAAATTACATGTAGCTTGAGACCAGGAACTCTCTCAAACCCCTTTTCCCTGCTCTCCTCTACACAAGATGGGCTGTGCGACACATAAAATCCCACTTCCTTAGTACTACCGAAGGTCTCCCATGAATAAGCTTTGCTTTCCACTAGGTCTTTGAGTAAGAATGCAATTCAACAAAAATTTACTAAGATAGTTAGTTGCTAGGTTCTGTGTTAGTGTTTGTCATATATTGACATGATATTGCCCTCACCACAATCCCTTGGACAACATATTACTATCCTCATTCTACAGATTAGGAACCCTAAAGTTTAGAAAAAGTTCAATCAAAACGTCCAATATAATTCCCCCTAGAGGTCTCTTGATTCCCAAATGCTCTGGTCTTGCCACAATGCCTCTGCAGGTCCCAGTATCCCATCCTCTAACCCGAAGTCCAATCACTGTTCTCTAAACATGCCCCATCTTACATTCCTCCATGCCTTTGATGGGCCTGAAATGACCCATGCAGACTTCCTACTCCTTTATTCTCCTAAAATACATTGCTTTTGCACATCATCCGCAGAATGTATTGCATCTGACTTGTTTTATACTGTTTGTTTTACTAGGTCAGGGACTATGCTTTCTTCATCTACATATCTCTTCAAAACACCTAATACAGTTCACTTCACACAAACTCAATAAATGTTGGATGAACCCATGTATACTCACTGACTGATTCTTTTATCACTTTGGTGGGAGGAGATGAGAACATTTGTAACCTGCAAATTGGCTAGAAATATTGGGGCAAACATTTTTTCTCCTCAAAAATATGGAAACAGTGCTACAGCTCAAAGCTGATGGAAAGTTTCAAATCGGAGTGTCCCCACTCTATTAAAGAATGTGATGATTCTATTAAACTCCATGAAATAAGTATTTTAAAAATTAGTCTTATTAACAAACAGACCCGAATATCTTGATAATAAAGTTTAATAGAATAGTAACCTTTTTTAAAAAATATATATATTTTATTGATTTTTTTACAGAGAGGAAGGGAGAGGGATAGAGAGCTAGAAACATCGATGAGAGAGAAACATTGATCAGCTGCCTCCTACACACCTCCCACTGGGGATGTGCCCGCAACCAAGGTACATGCCCTTGACCGGAATCGAACCTGGGACCCTTCAGTCCACAGGCCGACGCTCTATCCACGGAGCCAAACCGGTTAGGGCAGAATAGTAATCTTGACAAACTAAAGCCAAAGGTATAAAAACTGAAGGAAAGAGAGAGAGATTAGGGAGAAAACATTACCTGGTGGGTATTATGATGAAAAGCCAGGGAGATGCTTTGAGTTTCAGAACTTCTGGACGGGGGAACACTCATTAGATCAGTGTTAATACGGGAAATGAGTCCTGCGGAGATTTAGCCTCAGCAACTTTCAGTTTTTCTTTCTGTTTTCTTCTTCCTGTGTCAATAGAAAATACAATATTATTAATAACGTTATCTAATATAGGTACTTAAAAGTCACTGTTTAAAGAAAATATTTGTTCTTGAGTTACCATGAGTTTGCTATGGCCTTGGACCTTGCTAGAGAGAGCAGACACCCCATGGAGCAATTGGCTGACATGATACTTCTCCACATGTACATAATGAATGCCTATCATTTCAGTATTAGGCAGAAAAGTAGAGATTATATACGGAAACAAGAAAAATTCTCGGAATTTTATATCAGAATTAATCCCTTTGGTTAGAAAAATAATATTATTTAAATTAGCATGATTATTACTCCATTGTATAAATTGATCACATAGCACCGTCCACCACTAACATTTCTATGACTAGAGGCCCAGTGCATGAAATTCGTGCATGCGGGAGGGTCCCTCAGCCCAGCCTGCACCCTCCTGCAATCCAGGACCCCTCGGGGGATGTCCAACTGCTGGTTTAGGCCTGATCCCTGTGGAATCCCTGGCACCTAACCGCTCACCTGCCTGCCTGCCTGATCACCCCTACGCACTTTGCCTGCCTGCCTCATCTGCCCTAACCACTCTGCCTGCCTGCTTGATCACCCCTAACCCCTCTGCCTCCCTGATCGCCCCTAACTGCTCACCTGCCTGCCTGATGCCCCCTAACCACTCGTCTGCCTGCCTGATCACCCCTAACCACTCTGCCTGCCTGCTTGATCATCCCTAACCACTCTGCCTGCCTGCCTGATCACCCCTAACTGCTCTGCCTGCCTGCCTGATCTCCCCTAACTGCTTGCCTGCCTGCCTGATTGCCCCCAACCGCCTCTGCCTCAGCCCCCGCCAGCGTGGCTTAGTCTGGAAGGACATCTGAAAAGATATCCGGAAGTTCGTTCAACTGTCCAGTCTAATTAGCATATTACACTTTTATTAATACAGATTTGCTTCTGCTCAGTTTCACGTAATTTAGAAAACATTTTATAAAGCTAAATGCAATCATTATTAAATGATCTATGTTTACATTTTACTTTACATATAACATCATCTATACAAATAATAGAGGAATATGCAAATTGCCTGGGACACCATCACAGTAACAGTAACAACCGAACAATAGGCTGCGTGGGGCAACAAGGCTGGCAGGGGGTTTAGTGAGGAAAGACCAAACGACTGAACAGCAGGCTGCATGGGGTGACCAGGCCGGTGGTGGGGGGCAGTTGGGGGTGACCAGGCTGGCAGGGGGGACAGTTAGGGGTGATCAGGCAGGCAGGCAGGTGAGCAGTTAGGAGCCAGAGGTCCTGGATTGTGAGAGGGATGTCCGATCCTGGATCAGGCCTAAACCGGCAGTCAGACATCTCCTGAGGGGTCCCAGATTGGAGAGGGTGCAAGCTGGGCTGAGGGGACCTGCCCCATGCATGAATTTTGTGCACCAGGCCCCTAGTAAACAATAAAAAGCCAATATTCTATTATTAGAGATGAGTTAGGTAAGGTTTTTGTTTGATTTTTTTACCATAATACATTTTTAAAAATATGACTTCTAGCTTCTTTCTTGTGTATTTCTGTGGGTTTTTCCCCCAGAGTACATGTATATCATTTTTACAACTCAAAAAGGATAATGACCTTTTTGAAGAGATTAAAGATCACTTGTGAATGAAGGCAGAAAATGCCTGTCCCTCTAACCCCAATCATGCCCTACGTACGGCCAGGCTGGGGTGGGCACAGCGCTGACAAAGAAGGCCTCTTTTTCTTTCTTTTTTTTTCTTTAATATATTTTTATTGATTTCAAAGAGGAAAAGAGAGGGAGAGAGAGATAGAAACATCAATAATGGGAGAGAATCATTGATCGGCTGCCTCCTGCACGCCCCCTACTGGGGATCGAGCATGTAACACAGGCATGTGCCCTTGACCAGAATTGACCCTTCAGTTGGCAGGCTGACGCTCTATCCACTGAGCCAAACCATCTAGGGCAAGGGTCTTTTTTTTCTTTTCATTAGGTCAAGTTCACCAAATAAGTACCTGTGAGTGTAACTTCCCAGTTTTTTCTAATCAGCTCTTCCAGTATTTCTACCACATTTGTCCAGATGTGATCGAACACTTCTGCGGCCACAGCGTCTTTGATACAGTCATGAGGGGAAATGGGAGGAAGTCCATGCTTGCGCCACATCCCACAGTGGTGAGCTGATTTCTGTTCAAGGTGTTCATTGTCACTAAGGACAAAATCCATTCTAATTAATAAAAGAATCAAGGGTTAAAAGTAAATAATGCTACCTATCTACCTAACATGCACTCATAGATGTATATTAAACACATAGTAGAGGCCTGGTGCATGAAAATTCATGCACTGGAGGGGGGTCCCTCAGCCATGCCTGCCTGCTCACAGTCCAGGAGCCCTCAGGGGTGGGAGGCAACCCAGCCATCAGGGGAAGGCGACACCCCCATCACACCTCTGTTGCTGCCACTGCCGGCAGCGCAAGCCTTAGCCAGCCCTGGTTGCCTGAGCCTCGGGGGGCCCTGGGTGGCTGGGCAGCCGACATCCGAGGCTTGCCTGCGCCTCGGGCTGGCCCTGGGTGGCTGGGGGGCTGAGGGTGGGTCCAGCCGCACCGTGTGCCTGCCACTCCCCGGGCTGGGCTGAAAGGACTGTGGGACTCCGGCAGGGCTGAGGGGATTGGGCGCCGCCATCTTGTGGCTATGGGCGCCGCCACCTTTGTGACGGAGTGATGGTCAATTTGCATATTATGTCTTTATTAGATAGGATAAATAAACATCACATTCTTTTTTTAAATAGTGCATTATTTTTTAATGTATCAATTTTCCATTACAAGGCAAATTTTTAGTATATTATATGTGTAGCTTTTGTTTAAGAACCAAATATGCATTTAGTGCTGAAATTGGACCGTCCCCTTTGCCCTCTATACAGCCAGGTATAGGATACCAGGAGCTCCTGGGCACCAAGTCATGTTCACCATTATGCTAAACACAACTCTTGTTTTCTATCTGTACCATATTGTCATAAACAGCCTGGCTGGCATGGCTCAGTGGTTGAGCATCTACTTGTGAACCTGGAGGTCACGGTTCAATTCCTGGTCAGGGCACATGCCCGGGTTGCGGGCTCGATCCCCAGTGTGGGGCATGCAGGAGGCAGTCAATCAATGATTCTTTCCCATCATTACTGTTTCTATCTCTCTCTCCCTCTCCCTTCCTCTCTGAAATCAATAAAAATATATTTTTAAAATGACAAGAAAGGGAAGCAGTCTTTTAGCGTAGACATTTCCTGCCAGGAACTGGAAAGCTTTTGAGAGCACAATACTATCCAAAGAATGGAAAATCTTTTGGAAAGTGAAATATACACAAAGCACTAAATGAGCATGTAATCAAACTTATATACCAAATAAATTAATATTACTAAACCATTAAGTCAGTGCCAAATAAAATTCTACTCACTCTTCTTTTCTGTCGAAAGCGAAATATTCTTCGATTTTTCCATCCACATCGTAGACCTCTTCCTGCAGGGATGAACATGCCGCTATGTCAGCTACTTCTGTGCAGTCGGGACCTAGCAGGGCCGGGGCTGCAAGTGCTGCTGGGATTATTTGCGAGCCGGAGATGCACAACCTACGGGGAAAGCAGATTCTCCATGGGAGCTTGTAGAACGCCAAGAATACAATGTGTGCATGGTTATGGTAGGTCCTTAAATTATCCAGAAAGTACAGAGTCCCAAATTTGAAAGTCACTAAATATTACATTTAACAAAAGTCATGTCCTTAGAAGCAACATTTTTAACACGGGCATCATTAAACATTGTAAGGGCTTCTGGGAAGCCTACATTACTCTATGAATTTGCATCCTCTTTGCTACAATGAAAGGATGTCATGGCACCGTCCCAAGTACATGTGACTGGCATGGAGGCATTCACTGAAATCTGTTAGTGAGCACAAGAAAATGGCTGGAGCTGTAGTTCTTCTGCTGCTACTGCCTTGGGGCTTAGGATCCAGTAGTTTTGATTTTGTATCTAGCTCACCTTTCAGAGATTCTTTGAAACAAAGGTTGAAAAGTTAACTCCCTTGCCCAGCCAATGTGGCTCAGTGGTTGAGTGCCGACCTATGAACTAAGAAATCACAGTTCGATTCCCAGTCAGGGCACATGCCCAAGTTGTGGGCTCAGTCTCTAATGCGGGGTGTGCAGGAAGCAGCTGATCAATGGCTCTCTCATCATTGATGTTTCTATCTCTCTCTCCCTCTCCATTCCTCTCTGAAATCAATAAAAATATTTTTTACTCCCTTGATATCAGTATTATACACACACACACATTGTCGTCTTTGTCGTCATCATCATCATCATCATCAATTTAGAATCAGAAGCATCTTATAAAAATAATGCTTTGTACCTTCCCTTCAATGAAATCTAAACTTGCAAAGTGGTGGAGCCGAGGCTCACGGCTGAGACAGACATGAAAAAGTATAACTAAAATGCCATTAAAACTACCTTTTGGAAGCAGTTTGTAGGAACTTACTGCCTGATGTTGCTGCTGCGTTGACAGGCATCCGGGGAGGATTCGTGACCTGCAGAGCGAGGCTCGCTGCCCTGGAAGTGGCGGACCCCTTCATCGGTTGGCAGGATGACCTGTCTTCCTAATACTCTGCAAGATTTAAAAAAATAGAAAACTATTCATATTTTTATTGGATAAGGTAAAGTGTTTTGCAGTTTTAAAAGTCATATAAAATACTATTTTGAAGGAACGTGTACGAAGCAATAAGGAACATACTGGCACATGGGAAGTATCCTGGCATCACCGAAAACCACAGGCTTTAAGGGAGAGGCCAGACTCTTCTTGCCACTGACAGACTTGAGGCCAAGTTCTCAGGCGTCTAAGCCACTCACTCAATATGTTTGATTGTGTAGGCAAGATAGAATGATAACAGTCACCTGGAGATAAAGTCTATCAGATCCTTACATCTAGGGCACTGGTTTTCAACAGTTTTTGTCTCCTGGCACATGTAAACTAATTACTAAAATTCCCCGGCACATCAAAAAAATACATATATTTTTTGCCACATGAATTTTTAAAACATGTCATACCTGCCTGTTTAGCCAGGGCACTGACTTTTTCCCCCTTAGATTGTCAAATAAAAAAATGACAATAGCCAGCACAACAATAGCCATTGGTTGTGAATGATTCAAAATTACTTATTTTTATTGTCATATCAGCAAAAAATATATTTTTGGTGTGCTGCAGAATTTTAGTAATTAGTTTACATGTGCCATGAGATGGAAAAGATTGAAAACACTGATGGAGTGTAATGCAAGCACACAGAAATTCTCTATAAATGTTAACTAAGATCTACGTAATGAATAGGAATCTATAAATATGTATACTTGGCTTATGTTCCTTGCAATAGTTTCTTCTTCTATCCTCCCTCCTTCATTTTTTATCTTAACTATGTGAGTTAACAGTGACAGGAGCAGGTCTCAGTTCCTGACATATTGGCAGGCTCCCCAGGCCTAGAAAAGTCAGCGCCCACAAGTAATAGCTAAGGGACCTATTGCATTCTCTGAGGCGGGAGGCTTATAGAGGACTAAAAAGAAAAGATAAAAACCTACCTAGTCAAGAATTTTTTAAAGGTACCTAGTGGATGTCACCAGAAGATCTGCTGATACCTGTATGAATATCCTCATTTACCTCCCTGGGCACAATACAGAGGACCTTCGGAGAACCTATATGGATTGCCCCCTAAGTAGTTTGGCTGAGTAATTGAAAGAAGAAAAAACTTCCCTTTATATCCAATCTATAGTCTCCATCTTTGATATAAAACAACAAGTGATCCCTCCTACATAAGGAATCTTGGTGCAATGGTAAGGTTCATCTTTCTAATCATTCAGCAAATAATTACTTTGTCCCTCTTCCACCCCCAAGCTGTGTCCTACTTTCAGTACTGAGGACACACACGTGTTGCTCACATACTAGTGAACACGGAGGTAAAGGGTGACCTACCATTCTCGTATTTGTTCTGAGGATGAGCTAACTGCTTCTCAGAAATTAAAATGCACTTGAGTATAGGGATGTCTCAGTAGTTCCTCAGCTGCCATCCCAAAAGATGCAACATCTCAGTAAAGGGCACGTGTTCTAGATACATATTTTGACCAGGCAAGTGTTTCAGTCAAAATGTACTCATTGTGTTAAACAAGTCTGGAGTGGGCGGTTCCAAAACCCATTGTGGTGAATTACTATGAATTACCCCCCTACCTCAGATGGATGGATCGTCTCGCCCACTCGCTGCATTCAGCCATGAGGTTCTGGGTCTGTGGGCTCACTTTCCCTTCGAATAACATTTCCTCGACCTCCCAGAATAACTGCTGTACTTTCTGTGCACTGGCTTTGTCAAACTCCTAAAACAGAAATGCACATTTAGTTGCATGACTAAAAGTTGTAGACATAACGGCTTCGTAATCCATGATGCTAACATATTTAAAGCACCCATTATGACAAGGTAGAAATAAGTGGATTTTGTGGTCAGACACACCAGTGTTGCAATTTTCAGTCTTCTGATAAATTGCATCCCACTCTGACGCACAGTTTCTGTAACTACTACATGAGTTATGAGACATATTTGAGATTTTACATAGATATAGTGATAGATATAGGTATACATAATGACACAGATCTTAATATAGATCTTAATATAGATACTTACATATATATATATATACTAGAGGCCCAGTGCACAGATTTGTACACAAGCGGGGTCCCTCAGCCTGGCCTGTGCCCTGTCACAATCCGGGACCCCTCAGGGGATTTTGGACTGCCTGTGGGGATGGGGCCTAAACCAGCAGTCTGACATCCCCTGAGGGATGTAGTAGTGCGGAAGCGGCATGCAGCCAGGGAGGAGCCCGAGCCCACTGCTCCCACTCATCCTGGCCCTGCTGCATCTGCTGCCACCTCCGCTAGGTAGCGCTGCTGCAGAGGCGGGAGAGGCTCAAGCCACTGCAGCTGCGCTCACCAGCCATGAGCCCAGCATCTGGTGCCCATCAGCTGAGCAGCGCTCCCGCTGTGGGAGTGCACTGACCACCAGGGGGCAGCTCCTGCATTGAGCATCTGCCTTCTGGGGGTCATTGTGCATCATAGCAACCAGTCAAACGGTTGACTGGTGAAACGGTTGACTGGTCACTTAGGGTTTTATATATATATAGACGCACACACATACACATACACACACACGTGTATAAATATGCAGACATATGTCTCTCATATGGTTGGGTGAGACCGCATCTAAGCACATCTGCAAAGTTCAAACTATTTCTTTCTCTGATGATACCACTGAAAAGGAAAATGGCTTTTATAGAAAGGGCCATTCACATTCTTTCCATCAATGAAAAAAATCCTGAGGCACGATTATTAGGGTGAGGCCAGAGTATTAATTTTTCCTGCTTGACCTAAAGAGGTTCTTGGACTGTGGCTACAGTGAAATGTGGATAAGAACACTTTTCAGGCTTTCTACGTGTTCTCGATGGTTGGGAGGCAACAGTCCTACAGCCCTCAGGTCCAAGGAGGAGAATGTGAACATTACCAGAATTAGGAGAACCAACACTGACCAGGCAGCCTCCAGAGTAAACGCCTGGTTATCTTTTCTTCCAGGGATGTGTGAACCTGAAATCTAATCCACAGCTCAGGGCAACGAAGTGCATATTCAGTCTGACATACCTGATCCAAATGGTTTACTCAGCTTGATTTTCATAGAATGCTAGTCAATATTTTCTGTGTTACTTCTTCCCTCCAATTGATAATAAACTAGATTCCCAGGTTGCAAGGGAGTTGAATTCTCTTTTAAAATGCAAATAAGGAGAAAATCAATATTAACATATGTCTCTTAGGAGGAAATTGCTTGGGTACAGCCTGCGAGAGGGCTTACTTTCCATTTTCTCTTCATTGCATTTGGCTGCTTTTGCAAATATTCTCTATCAAAAAGTAAATAAAAGTGTTTAAAAGCAACTGTACGTTCTGGAGTAATGTGCATTCTACAAATGAAAGCCATAAGAGTCTCTCTGGATAATTACATGAAAATCCAGAATTTGGACAGTGTGAAGCCATGACTCACAGCCTTCTTCCCACCTGTACACTCATGAGCAGAGTGCGAGTGGGGGTGGCAGGGAGTGGGCGTGAGGTGGGGGCTGCTTATCAGAAGTGAGAGCACATCTCTGAAGAGGTCCTGAGTGACTCAGAGCTGACTCCCTCCCAGCGTCCCCTCCCACACTTTGCAAATCGCTGCTGTAAGATGGTAGGAGGAAGAGGGGCAAGTGGAGAACTGCTTTTAAAGAGAGCAAAGAAAAACAGAAAACAAGAAAGTGCAGGAGACAGAACACCCACGGGCTACAGCGGAGGCTCCCAGGCACAAGGGCTTCACAAAAGGCCTCGACCGGGATGCTCAGGGGCACTTCAGGGGCTACGGGGGCAGGAGGCTGTGCAATCGGCAGAGCACCCAACAGAGCTGTGACTAAAAGCTTGCCTGGCTCAAACCCCACTCCCGAAAATGACAAAGATAAGGTCAAAGTTAACAGTTTCCACAACACTTAGAAGGTGAAAGTAAAACATCTGCTTAGAAATCCTCTAACCAGGGCGATTTTTTAGTTTTTACTTCACCCAAGTTTTCCTCTTGAGTTCCTACTGTCAGCGTCTGTCCTGAATTTCCCGCCATAGATTTCATATAAGAAACTAAATGTAACACACCGAGAGGGAGGGGAAGGAAGTAGAAAAAAACAAAACTATTAATAGCTGAGACTTTGAGATATGGAAATATAAGTGATTTTTGTTTTTCCTTATTTGTTTTGTATTTTTAAGATTTTACATGTGACATAGAAATGATTTTATATGTATGGTGATGTATGTATATAATAGGTAATGCTTTTAAAATTTGTAAAAAGATATTTTTAAAAATAAGAAAGCAGCCCTAGCTGGTTTGGCTCAGTGGACTGAAGGGTCCCTCGGTTTGATTCTTGTCAAGTGTACATACCTGGATTGTGCCCCAGTAGGGGGCGTGCTGGAGGCAGCTGATCAATGATTCTCTCTCTCATCATTGATGTTTCTATCTCCCTCTCCCTCTCCCTTCCTCTCTGAAATCCATAAAAATGTATTTAAAATATAAAAATAATTAAAAAATAAGAAAGCAACTCTTCTTTACACATTGTAACCATACAATTATCCAAAGTATTCTGACACATACTTCATCTCTCCATGAGCAAATGGAGCTCCTTTCGGTAGATAAACCTGTGGTTGAGGTCGAACTCTGCGTCGCAGACCCGGACCAAGAGCTGTGGGCTTCTGTGGGTGTGGGGCTTCCACTGGATGAAAATGATGACACAGACTCACTGCAGGAACAAACGGAGGCAACATAAATAATATTTCCTGGGAAGAGGTGGGGCTGGAAACTGGCTTTACCTCTCTGAGCCACTTCCTCGTTCTTTCTTTAAATACATTTGTCAAGTTCACAGCACACAGAATTTTAAAATACTGATGCAATGTAACATTTCACTAATTTTAGTTTTATCTGAAAATAAAACTGCTTGTTTACTTTTAGAAATTCACAGCCAATCTCCGATTTTGTTTGCCATATTCATTATGGGCATGTTTTGTTTTGCAATCAGAAGTGTTTCATAGGTTAATACTTACCAGGTATATTTATCAATGGCTTTCTGCACATTTCTTGTAAAATGTGTAGGTAAAGGATCTTTGTTTTTTACAGGAAAATTGTGTTCCCCAGATCCTTCTGATAGTCCTCTTCTGAAAAATAAAATATTAAAAGTATTTTTAACATAATAATATAATTTTATTCATTAAGACTTTTAAATTTTCCTTTTGTATAAAGTTGCTCCCTCCCTCCTGCCATGTCCCCCTACACATGTGCACACACATGCTACATAGCCATCCAATGTGAAGGAATCAACATTAAATTTATTTTTTGTCAGATCAGCAAAAAACTATTTTTTGTTGTGCTGCAGAATTTCAGTAATTAGTTTATGTGCCATCAGATGAAAAAGGTTGAAAATTGCTGCACTTTATAGATAGATCAGGTTGATCTTGCTCACTGCTATTAGCAAATGCTACCTTAGGAAAACTGTTCTTGTTAACTTGCACCTCCCAGCACATGTCTTAGTATGCCTCTCTTTGTTTGTTTTTATTTCTTTAAACTTTTTAAATTTTTCAATTACAGTTGACTGTCAGTATTATATTAGTTTCAGGTGTACAGCATAGTGGTTAGACATTTATATACCTTACGAAGGGATCCCCTGACATTTCAAGTACCCACCTGGCACCATACCTACTTATTACAATATTATTGACTATATTCCCTGTGCTGTACCTAACACCCATGAATTTGTACTTCTTAATCCCTTCACCTTCCTCACCCAGCCCTGCAACCCACCTCCCATCTGGCAACCATCAGCTTGTTCTCTGCATCTGTAAGTCTGTTTCTCTTTTGTTTGTTTACTTTGCTCTTTAGATTAAACATATAAGTGAAATCATATGTTATTTGTCCTTTTCTCTTTGACTTATTTCACTTAGCATAATACCCTCTAGGGCCATCCATGTTTTTGTAAATGGTAAGATTTCTCTTTTTTTATGGCCAAGTAATCTATATATATAAAAACCCAGCGACCTGAATGGCGGAACAACCAGAATGATCGGAACGAACGGTGGCTATGACACACACAGTTGCAGCCAACCAGCCTGATCTGGGCCCCGATTGGCACCCCCCCACCCCCCAGCTAGCTAGGCCACCCATCGCACCCAATACCCTGATCAGGAGCAGGGCTGGCTGGCCAACCACCCATGGCCCCTCCCCACTGCCGGTCCAACAGGCCTCCATTGGGGCGGGCCGGCCGGACCCCACCCGTGCATGAATTCATGCACCAGGCCTCTAGTATTTTATATATATACTAGAGGCCCGGTGCACAAAAATTTGTGCACTCGGGGGTAGGGGGTCCCTCAGCCTGGCCTGTGTCCTCTTGCAGTCTGGGACCTCTTGGGGGTGACCACTTGCTGGCTTAGGCCTGCTCCCCAGGGGATTGGGCCTAAGCTGGCAATCAGACATCCCTCTGGCAGCCCAGCAACCCTCGGGGGATGCCCACTTGCCAGCAGGGAGCAGACCTAAGCTGCAGTCGGACATCCTTAGCACTGCTGAGGAGGCAGGAGAGGCTCCCACCACCACCACTGTATTGGCAGCCATCAGCCTGGCTTGTGGCTGAGCAGAGCTCCCCGATGTGAGAGCACACTGACCACCAGAGGGAAGCTCTTGCATTGAGCGTCTGCCCCCTGGTGGTCAGTGTGTGTCATAGTGACCAGTCATTCCCAGTCTTTCTGCTGTTAGGGTCAGTTTGCATATTACTCATTTACTATATAGGATAGAGGCCTGGTGCACAGGTGGGGGCCGGCTGGTTTGCCCTGAACGGTGATCCGGATCAGGGTGGGGGTCTCGCTTGGGTGCCTGGCCAGCCTGGATGAGGGGATGATGGCTGTTTGCAGCTGGTCACACCCCGTTCAGGGTGGGGGTCCCCACTGGGGTGCCTGGCCAGTCTGGGTGAGGGGCTGAGGGCCGTTTTCAGGCTGGCGGGTGACTGAAGCTCCCAGCCTCTTTTTTTTTCTTTTTTTTATTCTGGGATTTATTTACCTTCTATAGCTGTCACTGGAGCTGAGAGCCGGCTCCAGCTCTGAGGCTGTGGCTGGCTGAAAGCAGGTATCTGGGTTTGTTTAGCTTCTATAATTGAAACTCTGTTGCCATCACTGGCGGTCTAAGCTCTGAGCCCGCTGACGGCTGAAAGCAGGTTTCTGGGTTTGTTTAGCTTCTATAATTGCAACATTGTTGCATCTGGAGCTCAGAGCTGGGCTGCAGCAGGCGGGGAACCTTGGCTTCCTCCGTCACTGGAGCAAGCAAGCCTCCCTGTTCGAGTCAGCTGCCTGGCTGCCGGCCGCCATCTTTGTTGGCAGTTAATTTGCATATCTCGCTGATTAGCCAATGGGAAGGGTAGCAAAGTTACAGTTAATTACCATGTTTCTCTATTATTAGATAGGATAAAATAGTTTATAGATAGATAGATAGATAGATAGATAGATAGATAGATAAATAGATAGATATTAGTAGCCCGGTGCACAAAATTCGTGCACATTAAAAGGGAATTAATTAGCGGAGATATTTTAATATTGCTATTTGCCCTTTCTCTATAATAGAAGTGTGAGAGATGAAAGGAAATTAGTAAAACATATATGAAAATAATATATAAATTCATTAATAAATAAAAAGTAACAAAAGGATATAACAACAACAGAGGCATGATATAAAAATGACAAAAACATTATATAAAACAATAGTGATGCAAACAATGACTGATAAAGTGATTAAACTTATTCTAATATCTCCCTGGACACCTCATTAAGAGTGAAAACACTTTCAGAGTGCTTGACTAATTTCCCTTGTGATGAACTATTTAGAACTTTAACTGTAACGTCACATGCTCTTCAAACTTGAGAGAAAGCAACATATAACTGACCATGTGAGAAAAATGTTTCAGGTAGGAATATGCCTACTTTGTCTAGAGTTTGTCTTTGTGATTTATTAATAAGCATCACAAATGCTGGCATCACAGGAAACCATAATCGAATCAATTTAAATGGGAGGCCAGTGTCAGATGGGGACAAATTAATTCTTGGAATCAGAACAACCTCTCCCTCTGCAGATCCTGTTAATACTTTAGCTTCGATAATGTTAGGTCGTAATCTTTTGATAATAAATATGGTACCATTACAAAGACCTCATTTACTATTGAGATTTCTCAATAGCATGATGATTGCACCCACTTTCAATTTTAATTTATGACACGGCATTCCCGAAGGAGTAATACTATTAAGAAATTTGATGGGAAAATTTTCCTTTTCAGCATCATCTGTGGAATCAATGGAATCATCACTCAAATATGTGTGAAAATCTCCACTGAGTATATCCAAAATTTCTTCATTTAATTTTTGAACATGCTCATTTTTTGGACAAAGAATTGCACGTTTAGATATATTTTTAATATTACCTATAGAGATAGTATTTCCAAAGGTAGCTTCAATAATAGATCTATTACAAATCATTTCACAAGGGATTTCAATAATATCCATTCCTAAATGAAAACTGCTATCAAGTTTGACATCTCCAAGTTTTACTAACCATTCACTATAAGCAGAATCCTCTGATCTCATATTTGTTGTAAGAGACAACTTTCTGAAACATCCCTAAACATTGCAGTACTTTAAACTCGTTTGTACTATGGCCGATCGCATAGCATGTGGTACAATATTGAGACATTGTCGAAAATCACCTCCAAGAAGGAGAACTTTTCCACCAAATACAACATTCAGACTCATAATTTCTCTTAGTAATCTGTCTATGGTGTTTATAGCATGACTGGATGCCATGGTGCATTAATCAATAATGAGAAGTTGGGCCTTTTTAATAGTTTTAGCAACTTCATTCTTTATATTGAGTCTAGAAATTGAAGTTTCATTTAATGGAATCGGTAATTTATATTGGGAATGAAAGGTGCTTCCACAGAGAAGTAAATTTGCAGCAATTCCTATAGACGCTGTGGGTAAAACAGTACCACCACGACCTCTAATATAATGTATTAATACTTTATACAGATATGCAGGTGAATAGGATTTCTAGCTGGCAGGCCCCTGACAGCAAGCTGGCCACCTGTCGATTCCGTGAGGAATGGGGCTCCCTCCTCCCTCCTGTCAGGGTCCGGGGTGCAGGTGAATGGGGTTCCTGGCTGGCAGGCCACTGACAGCAAGCTATCCAACAGCAGATTCTGTGAGGAATGGGGCTGCCTCCTCCCTACTGTCAGGGTCTGGTTTGAAGGCCAGCCACGCCCCCTGTAGGGTTAGACCCAGAGTTCTACCATGCTGTGGCCTCTGCCTCATCAACTCAGGACTGACTGCTGCTGGGCGCTCCTGGCGCTCCGAGGGTGGGTTCTTCCCTCAGGCCTCTCGGTAAACAGCTTGGGGAGGGTGCAGCCCTTGGCAAGGCAACCCAGGACTCAGTACTTCCACGCTCCGCTCCTTGCAGGTTCCTGCCTGAAACCTCACCGCTCCTTGCAGGTTCCTGCCTGAAACCTCACCCTCTAGGAAACAGCTGGGGGAGGGCGCAGCCATTTCCAAGACCCTGCAGGACTGACTTCCTTCTGGTTGGTGGAGCTTCGGGCTGTGATGTTACACCCAGGGATATATATATATATTCCACACCATCACACCATCTTTATCCACTCCTCTATGGCTGGGCACTTATGTTGCTTAAGCTCTCTTTCAATACTTGGCTTTTTATTATGATGATCTTGACACTTTGTTAGCTTTCTTTACCTATAGCACCTAAACCAATGCCTGTCAGGTAAAGATTTCCTGTTTCTTGAAAAACAAATCAATAGGCAGAGATTCAATCAGCGCTTCTAAAGAATATGTTTTTGCTCTCTGATTACTCTGAATGTTCATGCTTAAATCAAAAGATTACACTATGACCAGACTCAAAAATATTCTCCAAATTAAAGACATTTCTGGAACTTATTTAACCTTTATAAAGAAAGAAAATTCACAGTAGCTGATATCTACAAAACATGGAGATTACAACCGAATGGAGTCCCTCCTGCACTCATTTAGCTTCTCTTGCTCCTACTTAGCACCTCCTCTCCTGTTGTGCAACTTGAAAACGCATACCCATTTGTTTCTGTTTCCAGTTAAATAATTTCTTCTTCCAGAATATTCACCCTTTTTCTGAGGTCATGGGGTGGAGTGAGAGGAGTGGGAAGGAAGTAGTTCAAACTAAGAAGAAAATGATTTACAAAATGGAAGAACTAGTTTCTCTCTTCACATTACACCATATCCTTGCCAAGAGGAACACTCCTGCTCACTTCAAAGTGTAGTGAGACCAGGAGTGCTGGAAACCAATTCCAGCATGACAGCAGGGCTGAATCTGGGAATGGCTGATGGCATTTCCCCAAACCTGAAAAGGGATGATTGCTTGCTGCCAGGCACCTCAGGGCATCTTAATCTACATGTTATTGCCTCCTACTGGCCAAACACCTGAACAGCTGTAGGCTAATTCCCCCAAATCTGACAATGCCTCTGTATAGGAAACCCTGACCCTTTGAAGTGTATATCTCTGCCTCGCCTCAGGACAAATTGTGTTTATAAAAAGCATGGGGTCCTGGGACAAGGAGATCTTAGTTTCCTTTAAACTAGGCTCCTCTGCCCCCCAAATGCCTTTCAAAATTATATTTCGTCTCTGGACTCCTATTTAATCTACGCACAGCCTTCTCCAGATTTCCCGAACCCTTCTTAGAGGTCAGAACAAGAACCTGGCACACGAGGTCTCCAAGACAGGGGTGCTGGCCAGGTATGGGGGTGGGGATTACAAGAAAATGGATGCCTTGAAACGACTTTCAGACCATTTCTCCAACTTTTTCTCCTCTGCTCTTCCCCATGTCTTCAAAGTCTCTGGACTTCTGTGGAACTTCTTGAACTTCCAGGTTCAGTGTAATGGCTTATACATTTGACCACAGAATTCAGGAGAATTCTGAAGAGGCACTTGAGCCCGTCCACTCAATGACTGCCCAAGGTCACAAGGACAACAGGGATGGAGCTGGTCTTTCCACAAAACACAGGTAACATTTACCTTCTGTTTTTCTTTTTATGTCTTGTTTTGCTTCGTTGGTTTCTCTGTCTTCCGGTCATGCATTATTGTGCTGTTCTTTCATGCAATATACGGAACATCTTTAATTCCCTGCGAACTATCAACTCCTACATCAGCCCTACAGTCTAGGACCGTGGTCGGCAAACTGCGGCTCTCGAGCCACATTTGGCTTTTTGGCCCCTTGAGTGTGGCTCTTCCACAAAATACCACGTGCCGGCGCATGTACAGTGCTATTGAAACTTCGTGGCCCATGCGCAGAAGTTGGTTTTCGGCCTGGGCGAGTCTATTTTGAAAAAGTACTGTTGATATTTGGCTCTGTTGACTAATGAGTTTGCCGACCACTGGAGAATGTACACAACCTACAGGATGTGTCCTACAAACCTTAAAACTTGATGTGGTGGAACGTTTAAGCTTTAATTACAAACCACGTAGCCATAGAACAGCTCTATGGTAGTTCCTTATATATAGAGATGAAAAAATTCCGCTCAGTGGGTACATTTAGGGCTGTTCATTTGCAGACAGGACCTACTTTTTGGTGTAAACGGAAGTGCAACAACTGAACCACAGTGGATTAATTTGTTGATGTATCAAAGTTAAGGCCGAGTCCCAGTCTCCGTGAGTCACTCCATTCTAGTTGTCAAGGAAATGACTGGATCATCTACTTTTACTTTGAAAAAGCTGCCTCCTGATCGCCCATAAACCAGTGCCTGTAGAAATTCAAGTATTCAACAGCCATCGCAGCTTCAATTGTGTATTCCTGTTAAGAAGGGTTGTCTGAAATGAGCCCTGTATGCTGCATGGGCTGAAATGCAGGGTGATTTTCTGGAATGAACTGGCCTTCGCGAACCTGCCCCTCCCGAACCTGCCCCTCCCTATAAAACACCCAGGCTGTCCTGACTTAACACAGGACCTGCTAGAAGCAACCTGGGCTGGGGATTGCAGAAGTCAAATCAGATGTCATGGATGCTTCTGAGAGCCAGTGAGCGACTTCACCTGGGCGGCCCGCGTGCTGTGAGCACGAGAATGCCATGAATGGATGCAAGGGAACAGAAGAGATGGATTCCAGGTTTGCAGGCAGAAAACAAATCACGGACACTGCACAAACATCACCCGCCAGAGTTCAGCCACTTCCCGTCCCAGATCAGGACTCACCCAATCACGATCAGCCCCAGGCCTTGCGCTCGCGTCTCCTGGCCCCGGCCCCGCGCCTCCCAGGCCTGGGCGCCCCGGGCGCGCCCCCACCCACGGGCGGGAACCCTTGCAGGCGGCGGTCCCCGGACCGTGGCGCCGCGGGAACAGGGGGCGGCAAGCCGGACTGGTGTTTGGCTAGGAGAGGTGGTTTCC